CTGCCCCGGCCTCGCCCAGCGGGCCCGCGCCCGCCGCGCCCAGCGGGCCCAGCGCCGCGCCCGCCGCGGCGCCCGCCTGCCGCAGGATCTCGGAGACCTCGGAGCGGGCGAGGCCTCCCCCCTTCGGCGGATGCTTCGGGGCTCGAGCTCCGAAGTTTGGGACCGGCAGCCCCGCTCTCGACCCCGAAACTGCGGCGACCATGCTGCGGGGCGCACGCGCGCACAGAGAGCGCGGATGGGGGGGGGGGTGAGCGTCGAACTTCACTTCACCTGTGGTTTTGTTTTGCTCTGCGATCTGCGGACCGTGGTTGTCGACCGGTTTCCGAACGGGGGCCTCACATTTGGAGACAACATGCCCGAACAAGCGCTTGAAGGCCTGAACAACAACAACACGTCTGGCGTGACGGATAGCTCGCCCTAGTTGGGAGGCGGGAGAACCCATCTGCGCGAGCGGCGGACCGCGCAGGCCTGTGGATCTCCGAAAGTGGGTCTCTGAAACGGAGGCCTTGGCGAAAATGGCAGACGTGCCCAGGGGGCGCAATCCGCTGGTAGAAAGAGATGGACGGACTGCCGCGCCCTTTTGCGACAGCTCCGCAGCAAATTTGCTCACATCACCTCCAAGAGGGACAAGCGGCCACCAGCATCTGCAGGCAAAGGCGCAAACTTAGATTCGCATCCAAATCTTGCAGTAATCACTTACTAGCCGCGGGCTGCCTTTGGCGGCTTCTTGAGGTTGCAGTGCTCGTGCTCGAGCCACTTGGCAACAGCAGGGAATGCAGCGGTCCTTTCTCCTAGAGCCTTGGCCTTGGGGAACTTTGCAAAATCGTATTCGCCCAAGGTGGCCTTGAACGGGATCAGCGCCTGGGTGAGGATGAGGATGACCAAATCTGCCTTCGTCGGCGCGTCGAAACCGTTCACAAACCCACTTTCTGGAATGTACTTGCTCAGATGGGTCAGTGTCTTTTCCATGAAAGGGACCATCAAGGAACCGTCGTAACCACTCAGGACGATACCTGCGCCAAGACCCATGGCATCCTCCAAAGCACCCTCGAACATGTCATCCTTGGCCTTCTGAACTGGGTTGACGGGCGGGTACGTTGGACCGATACCCATCAAGTAATCCTGGACCGCGGCGCTCTGGTTGATCTTGAGGCTACCATGCACTAAGATTGGCAGACCGCACCCTTCCATACTCATCGCTTTGGCAGCTTTTGTGTGCTCAGACTCCATTGCCCCCGCCTTAGCCTTGTCGGCAACTGATGCACCATTGGCCTGAAACGGATACTCTACCACCTCGAGTTCGACTCCACCGACAGCAGCGATGAGCTTGCTCAACTCGCCCCGCCCACTGACATCGAAATAATGGAGGACCGGTTTGCCCTTCGGAATGGCGCCAGAGATCTTACCTTTTGGCTCTTTGGCCTGTCCACATCCCATGTTTACTTAACGGACGTGAACTTCGGGCGGCGTGGTCCGGAATGGCTTGAACAAAAATTGCTACGGATTTCATTGTTGTTTGTTGTTGTTGCTGCTATTGTTGTTTTTGTTGTTCTTGTTCTTGTTATTGTTCTTGTTGCTGTTGAACTCTCACAAATAAAGAACAATTGTTGTTGATCCCCCCTTCCGGTGACCATTGTAATTCTCAAGTGAAATGCTTCCCCCAGGGGTCTCACCTTGTTTGTTTTCCCGGAAAATGACTCGGCTCAAACTGTGCCCCTGGCCCCCGGTTTACAACAACAGCGGGTCCCACCTCATACTTCGTCACAATGTATCCCCAAATCGCGCTCTCGCGCGGGACTTCCTTACAATTTGTATACGAATCGCGCTCTCGCGTGGGACTTCCTCGCAATGCATTCAGACGATGTACCCTCGACGCTCAGGAAGCACGCTCTCGCTTTGGCTTTTCTCACGATTTACTTGGGAATCGCGCTTTCGCTCGAGACTTTCTCGCGATTCATGCAGGATCCACGCTTCAGCAACCCGCCTGCTCGACCCCGTCGCCTGGGCCCGCCGTCCCGACCTGCCCACCCCCGTCTAGTTCTACCACTTGTTTTCTGCTCCTTGCCCCCGTCCTACTAATTTCTCTCGTGCTCCATTCTTCTCCCTCCCCCTTCCACCCGTCCTCTCTTCCCTTGTTGTAGGGGCTGCACTAAATACGCGTGGCAAGTAAGGAAGATATAGCCCCAAAGGGGGTACGATCGAAGACGACGAAGGCGGGTACCGAGGGTTTGGGACACACGTATTGAATGGTACGTGAGCAGATAGGAGCGAACAGTCTTAACGTGAATGTTGTTGTTGTGGCCGCTGCTGTTGAATTCTTATTTCTGAAAAAATGATCATTGTTGATCCTCCCCCACCGGTGCATACTGTTTTTTCTCAATCAAAGTGTGCCCCATCGACGCTCGCACCTTGTTTTTGGACAAGGAAAGTCTTGATGCTCAAACTGGGCCCCTGGCCCCCCGGTTGCAACAACAACGGCTCCCGCCTTAGACTTCCTTCCAATTTAGCCAGGACCCCCGCTCCCACCCGAGACTTCCTCGCATTTTATTCAGGAATCGCGCTGTCGCTTGGGACTTCCTTATAATTTATTCAGGAATCGCTCTCCCAGCGCTCTGGAGTCGCGCTCTCGCTGGAGACTTGCTTGTAACTTGCTGAAGAATGGCCTTGCGTTGGGATTTCTTGCAATTTGCCCAAGCGCCGCGCTCCCGACACCCGGGCACCCAGGAGTCGCGCCCGCTGTGGCCCCATGTGCATGCCTTTCGTGGCCCCGCTGTCGCCATTTGTGTCCCCCTCATTGTCCTACGTGGCCCAGTTGCTTCCCTCAGTGGCCCCATAGCTGCCTTCAGCGGCCCCGCATTACATGAAATTCGTGGCCCCCGCTCGTTCGCGCTCTTCGTGACCCCATACGCATTCCCTTCGTGTACCCGCTGTCGCCCTTCGTGGCCTACTTCGTGCCCTTCGTGGCCCTGCTGTCGTTCTCTCTCGCTCTCGCTTTCGCTTGTCGTCGCCGTCGTCGTCGTCGTCGTCGCCGTCGTCGTCGCCGTCGCCTTCGACGTCGTCGTTGTCGTCGTCGTCGTCGTCATCGTCGTCGTCGTCGTCGTGGTCGGTCCCCTGTCCGTCCCTCTTGGGGTCGGGTCGACGGTCCGCGGCCGCCCCGCCGACCAGCGCTGCCGCTGGCCAAGCCGACGGTCCGCGGCCGCCCCGCCGCTTGCCGGGGCCCGGCCTGCAGGGAAGAAAGGTATACCTCCCAAAAGGGATTCGATCGAAGACGAAGAGGGCGGGTATCGAGGGTTTGGGAAATACGCGTTATGGACACTCGAGCATATACGGGCGAACAGTCTTAAAAGTATTATTGTTGTTGTTGCTGCTGTTGTTGTTGTTGCTGTTGCTGTTGCTGATGCTGCTGTTGTTGTGGTTGTGGTTGTGGTTGTGGTTGTGGTTGTGGTTGTGGTTGTGGTTGTGGTTGTGGTTGTGGTTGTTGTGGTTGTTGTTGTTGCTGCTGCTGCTGCTGTTGTTGTTGTTGTTGTTGTTGTTGTTGTTGTTGTTGTTGTTGTTGTTGTTGTTTCTTGTTTCCCAAAGAGGGAACACGACCACAAAACCTCCCCCGACTCGGCCTCGACCGCTGTGCGAATCAAGCAGTCGCCATCAGGGGACAAAGAACTTTGAACACCTTTGTGTTGCTTATCTTTTGTTCTCGTGCTTTGTGTGTCCGCGTGGCTGGCTCTTCTTGTCGGGGGCCTGCAGGGGCGTCCTCGTTGTCACGGCTGGGCTTAGGTCGGGCGTGTCCCCCTACAGGCGGATTTTGGACGAAAAATAAAACATACCGCAGACATGCCCCAACCTCCTCCTAAATACTAAACAAAATCGCCCCACACTTGTTCTACTATCTTTTAACATTCCTCCTGTGGAGGGACACGCCCGACTTAAGGCTGGGCGCCCCCGCGAGACTCTGGCCAGGCCGCGTCCCAGGCGAGGTCCAGGGACCGTTCCTGTAACGGGGCGGATGCATCGCCGATTCATCGGCGCCGTCGGCGTGGAGAAGACCGGGCTCCACATCGCGCCGCATCGCCGATGCGGCTCGGACCCCACCTGCTCGGACCCCACCTGGGAGGCCCGAAGAAATTTGGAGCATTCTTCACTGCGTTGATGTTGTGAGATTTCTCTTTGTCGCTGTGCTTTGTGTGTGCTCGTGGTCAGCTTCTGCTGCTCGGGCCTGCACGGGCACTCTCGTCGCTACGGCTGGGCTCCCCTGCGAGATTGCGTTCGGCCGAGCATGTCCCCCTACAGGCGGGTTTGGGACGAAAAATAAAACATACCAGAAACAATACCCTCAAAATAACATCAACAAAAAACATGTAAAACATATCATCCCCAGACTATTGTTTGACTATTTTTAGACCTTCCCCCTGTAGAGGGACAGGTCCGACTGAAAACATTGCGGCCAGGATGCGTCCCAGGAGAGGTCCAGGTGCAGTTTCTGTACCCTCCAGGCCTCGACTCCCATGGAGGCTTGCCAGAAGCACGGCGCAAAGCTCTTGGTCATTTTTGGCCTCTGGAGGAGGAGGAGGAGGAGGAGGAGGAGGAGGAGGAGGAGGAGGAGGAGGAGGATGGCAGCAGAGCCGCTTGGGGTCGGGGTGTCTTTCCCTCCTCTGATGGCCGGGCCCGCCTCCGTGGAGGGCGTTGCGCCCCGAAGGGCCACGCATCGAGGCCCGCAGCGCTGCCGTGGACGGCAACAGGGGCAGCAAGTTGGGCGGAAAACAAGTGCGGTAAAAGGGCAGGCCTCCGACGTCCTCGTCGTCGTCGTCCTCCTCCTCCTCCTCCTCCTCCTGACGTTCTTAGGCTTCGGAGGCCTCCGCAGGCCTCCGGCGTCCTGGTCCTCGTCGTCGTCGTCCTCCTCCCGAAACTCTCACTCCACGTGCCCTGCGATGTGCGAGCGACTGGAGGAGTTCCCACCCCGCTTCAGATCTCCTGGCCCCTGACAGTGGGCCTTCTGCGAGGCGAGGGGTCATACGGCATACGGCTCCATTGCCGCGCCATCTTCGAAGTCTTCTGTGCTGACGTTCCGACTTGAACGTCCTTCTCGTCCTCTTCCTCCCCCTCCCCCTCCTCCTCCTCTCACTCATTCCGATCTTCTATTTCTCCCCCTTGAAGCCACGATCTGACATCAGGCTTTCGTCTCACTCATCCCAAACGTGTAAAATTACCCTTGCTGAAACAACCGCTCTCTCCGAGAGTTTCTGAAGGTCCCCGAAGGCCTCGTGAGGTCTTCGAGGGGGTCCACAAAGGTCCGACGACCTCGCTCGTCTTCGTCGTCGTCGCGTCGTCGTCGTCGTCGTCGTCGTCCTCCTCCTCCTCCTCCTCCTCCTCCTCCTCCTCCTCCTCCTCCTCCTCCTCTCCCAAGGGCCCCATGGGCGCAACGGTGGGGACAAGTGTTCGATTGGCAGCACCCGGGGGCGTGAGGTGTGGTTTGGGTCTGCGTTTCCCCCACTCCTCCGTGGGGGTGGCGGGACAGTTGCTGCCGAGCGAGCAGTTGTCCCCACCGATGCGCCCATGGGGTGTCTTTGGAAGGAGAAGAAAGACGACGAAGACGAGCGAGGTCGTCGGACCTTTGTGGACCCCCTCGAAGACCTCACGAGGCGTTCGGGGGCCGCCAGAAACGCACGAGCGATACTTTCAGCAAGGGAGGGGCCCCTCATGGGACGCACAGAGAGATACTAGCATGTCCTCCTTGGAGGCGCGCGTCCGACCCGAACATATAGTATACCCATCTTGTAGTATATCGTTTCCCGAGCGGCGTGGCCAGAAAGCGCCCGCCACGACGCATATACTGTAAGATTTCTCGGTGCGCGCATCGCGCCCCTGGGGGGGGGGCGACGCACATATAGTATAAGTGTGTTGGGGTGACGTCGACCTCAGGTGCGCAGCAGCTTGACGGTCGCGGCACGGTTGGCAGTGCACGGGGACGGCTGTGCGCGTGCACCCCCAATTCTGGATCCCCCGAGGCAGGACAAGCCCCCGCAGCCCAGGGGCCCGAACTTTGTTGAAACAGCAGGAGGCGCTTCCTTTCCGCTTTCAAGATCGACGATTTTGCCGTTTGGGGAAGAGTTACTTTGTGGTTTGGAGACGATTCTCGCTCGCGGGGCGCAGTTTCCCGGGGACGGGTGCACGCTGGGCTGCTCCCAGGGAGGGCGAGGTCTGGCTTGGGTGCGAGTGCCCCCGCCCCAAACGCTCCGCTGGACCTTTTCCAGGGGCGCAGCCGAGGGACAACAGCACGCTTGGCTAGAAGGAGAGAGCAACGGCATGAACATGAACTTCTGGCGCTCCGCACGGATTTCGTGGATCTGCGCCGGATCCCCCTCCCTGGCTCGCGGAGCGCGCCCGAGGCGGCGCCTGGGGGTTCCAGCGCAGGTCCAAGAAATCCTCGCGGAGCGCCAACA